GTGCAGGTTTGTTACATATGTATACTTGTGCCATGTTGGTGTGCTGCACCCATCAACTCGTCAGCACCCATCAACTCGTCATTTACATCAAGTATAACAGTTCTATAAGACTGACCCCACTTTGAATTCCAGCTGAAAATGAGATTCCCAGGCTACCCACATTTCTGTCTGGCTGACTACAAATTTGAGGCTTCCCATGGCCCCATGTTAGGTTTAGTAATTTGCTAGAATCACTCAGAGACCTAAGGGAAACACTTTACTTACATTTACCAGCTTATTATAAAGGGTACAACTCCAGATGAAAGAGATACATATGGCAAAATATGAGGGAGGGAGTACAGAGTTCCCATAACTTCTCTGAGCATGCCACTCTGTCAGCACCTTGATGTGTTCACCATTCCAGAAGCTCTCAGAACCCTGTTGTTTAGGCAAGTTTTAATGGAGGTTCCATTTCATAGACAAGATTGATGAAATCACTGGCCATTGCTAATTAAACTTGATCTTCAGCCCTGAATGGATAAGTCATCTCCATTACTTATTCTATAAGATGTGAGTGTTTTATTAGGAACCTTAATGGTTGCTTCATCCCTTAGGGATATTGTGAACAAGTTATTTTGATAGATTGTCTTTTGATCAGTCAAATATAATGCAGTACAGTCATAAAGATAAAGTGTTTCCTTGTTTTTAGAACTTTGCAAAGAAGTAGTTCTTACACTGAAGTGGTTATTGGATATAGAGTTTGGGACGATTTAATCTGCTAATGTACTTCGTTTATATCTTTGCCTTTCTGGGGGGGTACACAGTGCTGATTTGATTGGCTAAGAAAACTGTCTTATCTGGTAGCTGGTAGCTTCTGTGGCGTGAAATGCAGTTGCTGACAACTTTTAATTCATAACAAGTCTGTTAATTTGTTCCTATAAATTTAATATATTAATACAATTGAGTAACTTGAATCACTTCAGTTAAATTTAACTACTATTAGGTGTTACAAAATTTACTATTTAATGTGACTATATTTAGTAGGTTTTTCTCTCTCTTAAGCACTTTACTGACTTTAAATGGAATATTAGTTATCTGTTGTTGTGTAATAAAATTATCCCAAAATTTAGTAGTTTAAAACAACAGTAAACATTATTATCTCTCACATTTTCTACAGGTTAGGAATTTAGGAACAACTTAGCTAGTAGTTCTGGCTTAGGCTCTCCTGTGAGAATGCGTAAAGACATTGGGGGCCTCTCACAAGAAGGCCACAATCAAAATGTTAGACATGCTGCAGTCATCTGAAAGCTTGACAGAAGCTATCAGGTCTCTTTTCAAGGTGGCTTGCTGTCCTTGACTGAAGAGTCAGTGCTGGTTGTTGACAGGTACCCCTCCACCTGGCCTCTTCAGGGTTGCTTGAGTGCTCTCTTTGTATTGTGACTAACTCTCCACAGAGTGAGAGATCTAAGAGACAATGGGGAAAGGGGCAATGTGTTTCATTACCTAGCCTTGTAAGTCAAACATTTGCACTTCCGCAGTACTCTGCTAGTTAGACAGGCCAGTCCTGATTCCGCGATTCAATTTGTAAGAGACTGTAAAGGGGTGAGGAGCAGGCAAGGATCATTGGGGCCGTTTTTGGAGGCTGACTACCACAAATGGATTTCTCTGAGTTTTAGGAAAGTAGACATGCTTTAGTGGTAAGTGTAGCAAGTTGTCAGAAATCAGAGTGCCAGCATGGTTGGGTTATTGATGAGGACCCTCTTCCTAGTTATTTTCTCCCATGGTTTTTCTTTGGTGTGTGTATAAACAGAGAGAGCTCATGTTTCATCCTCTTTTTATAAGGGCATTAATTCCATCATGGGGAGGTACTGTCATGACCTCGTCTAAACCCAGTTACCTTCTAAAGGCCCCACCTCCAAATACCATAACATTGGGAGGCTGAGGCGGGCAGATCACAAAGTCAGGAGTTCGAGACCAGCCTGACCAACATTGTAAAACCCCGTCTCTACTAAAAATACAAAAATTAGCCAAGTGTGGTGGTCGGTGCCTATAATCCCAGCTACTTAAGAGGCTGAGGCAGGAGAATTGCTTGAATCCGGGAGGTGGAGGTTGCAGTGAGCCGAGATCATGCCACTGCACTGTAGCCTGGGTGACAGAGTGAGACTCCATCTCAAAACAACAACAACAACAAGAACAACAACAAAAAAAAACATTGGGGATTAGGGCCTCAACAAATGAATTTGGAGGGAGGGACATTAATATCTAGTCTATAGCAATAATGTTAAGAATCTTTTCATGTGATTATCAGCCATTTGTATGTCTTCTTTGGAGTAATGTCTTATTCAGGTCCTTTGTCTATATTTTAATTGGGCTATTTGTCTTTTAATTGTTGAGTTTTAAGAGTTCTTTATTCTCAATCAAAGTCTCTTATCATCTGTATGATTTGCACATATTTCCCCCTATTCTGTGGGTTTTCAGTTTTTTGATGGTGTTCTTTGCAGCATAAGTTTTAAATTTTGATAGAGTCCAGTTTATCTAATTTTTCTTGTATGCTTATGCTTTTGTTTTGATGTAATACTTATTTGGCATTACTTTGGTTGCTTATGTTTTTGGTGTCATATCTAAGAAACTATTGCCTGATCCAAGGTCATGAAGATTTACTCTTAAGTTTTCTTCTAAGGGTTTCAGAGTTTTTAGCTCTTACATTTACATCTGTGATCTGTCATTTAATATTTTAAATATTTGTGTGAAGTAGGAGTCCATCCTCATTGTTTTTGCATGTAGGTATTCAGTTGTTCTAGCCTCATTTGTTGAAAAGACTGTTCTTTCCCTACTGAATGTTATGGCACTGTCATTGGAAATCAGCTGACCATAAATGTAAAGACTGGGTGTTGACTGACACCAACTGATTCTCTGACAGCAACTTGGCATCTAACCAAGTTGACGCTTAACTCCTGGAATTAGCGTCAGACCCCACAGGTTGAAGGCTCAGTTCTATAAGACTGACCCCACTTTGAATTCCAGCTGAAAATGAGATTCCCAGGCTACCCACATTTCTGTCTGGCTGACTACAAATTTGAGCCTTCCATGACCCCCTATTAGGTTTAATAATTTGCTAGAATGACTCAGAGACCTAAGGGAAACACTTTACTTATATTTACCAGCTTATTATAAAGGGTACAACTCCAAATGAAAGAGATACATACAGCAAAATATGAGGAAGGGGGTGCAGAGTTCCCATAACTTCTCTGAGCATGCCACTCTGTCAGCCGCTTGATGTGTTCACCATTCCAGAAGCTCTCAGAACCCTGTTGTTTAGGCGTTTTAATGGAGGTTCCATTTCATAGACAAGATTGATGAAATCACTGGCCGTTGCTAATTAAACTTGATCTTCAGCCCTGAATGGATAAGTCGTCTCCATTACTTATTCTGTAAGATGTGAGTGTTTTATTAGGAACCTTAATGGTTGCTTCATCCCTTAGGGATATTGTGAACAAGTTACTTTGATAGATTGTCTTTTGATCAAATATAATACAGTACAGTCATAAAGATAAAGTGTTTCCTTGTTTTTAGAACTTTGCATAGAAGTAGTTCTTACCCTGAAGTGGTTGTTGGGTATAGAGTTTGGGACGATTTAATCTGCTGATTAAATCTTTTCCTTTTTTGGGGGGTACATCTTTTCCTTTTTTGTTTACATCTTTTCCTTTTTTGGGGGGTACACAGTGCTGATTTGACTGGCTAGGAAAACTGTCTTATCTGGTAGCTTCTGTGGTGTGAAATGCAGTTGCTGACAACTTTTAATTCATTACAAGTCTGTTAATTTATTCCTATAAATTTAATATGTTAATGTAATTGAGTAGCTTGAATCACTTCAGTTAAATTTAACTACTATTAGGTGTTACAAAATTTACTATTTACTGTGACTATATATAGTGACTTTTTCTCTCTCTTAAGCACTTTACTGACTTTAAATGGAATATTAGTTATCTGTTGGTGTATAGTAAAATTATCCCAAAATTTAGTAGTTTAAAGCAACAGTAAACATTATTATCTCTCACATTTTCTACAGGTTAGGAATTTAGGAACAACTTAGCTAGTAGTCCTGGCTTAGGCTCTCCTGTGAGAATGCGTAAAGGTATTGGGGGCCTCTCACAAGAAGGCCACAATCAAAATGTTAGACATGCTGCAGTCATCTGAAAGCTTGACAGAAGCTATCAGGTCTCTCTTCAAGGTGGCTTGCTGTCCTTGACTGAAGAGTCAGTGCTGGTTGTTGACAGGAGACCTCAGTACCTGTCCACCTGGCCTCTTCATAGGGTTGCTTGAGTGCTCTCTTTGTATTGTGACTAACTCTCCACAGAGTGAGAGATCTAAGAGACAATGGGGAAAGGGGCAATGTGTTTCATTACCTAGCCTTGTAAGTCAAACATTTGCACTTCCGCAGTACTCTGCTAGTTAAGACAGGCCAGTCCTGATTCCACAATTCAATTTGTAGGAGACTGCAAAGGGATGAGGAGCAGGCAAGGATCACTGGGGCCGTTTTTGGAGGCTGACTACCACAAATGGATTTCTCTGAGTTTTAGGAAAGTAGACATACTTCGGTGGTAAACTTAGCAAGTTATATTTTAGGAGAATGTTTAGCTTTTTTGAGTAAACCATAATCTATGAATGTTTTTAAAGGGGCTAATTTTATGCTAGTTTTTCATATTCCAAGCAAGTGTTACAAGTGAGGAAATATGTGGGTCTTTTTTTTGCAGATTATTTAAAATATCTGACAGTATACATGGGAGTGCTTATTCTAATGAAAGTGAATTGGACTCTCACATTGGCTCAGTGAAAATTGTACAAACAGAAATGAACAAAGGGAAATTAAGGAACTATAGCAATAGTAGGCAGAAATTTCAATATTCTGCAAATGTGTTTACAGCAGATAATGCTTTTTCTGCTTCTGAAATCGGAGAAGGCATGTTCAAAGACCATCTTTTCCAGTTGCTTTCCAGCCTCATGATATTCAAAGTAATTTCTTGCTTTTTCAGTTCGTTTTATGAGTACAGACTAATCTACATTTCTCAGCATATGGGAAAATGTAAAAATACAGTAAATTTGAGTAGATTATCTCTCTGTGCAATTTCTGCATTTTTTATTATGTTGCATTATTTTCTAAGCTGGGCTGTGTGTTAAAATATTTTATCCTGTGTGCTAAAAATATTTTTAACTTTGCTCTCAATAAAAAGTTGTGTTAGTTTTATTGAAACAGTTTTTATGGAAAGGTTAAAAATTCATTTCAGGTCCTAGCTTCTGACCATTACATTTTTTTTTAATGTTTATATAAATATGTAGGATTTTTTTTCAGAGGTAACAGAAAATGGTTTAGGTTCCTTGAAGGCTGTCACAGAAATTCGTATCCTTTAAGTTATTTACAATAGCTGCTTTATATTTATTAAATCATAGTTTTAAAACATTTTGTTTAATTGTGTTTCTGTTTATTTTGGTTGATGGAGAAAAAGAGGGAAAAGTTAATCTTTTTGGTAATGTAAGAGGTACATGTGGCCAGGTGCAGTGGTTAACGCCTGTAGTTCCAGTACTTTGGGAGGCCGAAGCAGGCAGATCACGAGTTCAGGAGTTCGAGACCAGTCTGACCAACATGGTGAAACCTCGTCTCTACTAAAAATAGAAAAAATTAGCTGGGCGTGGTGGTGTGTGCCTGTAATCCCAGCTCCTCAGGAGGCTGAGGCAGGAGAATTGCTTGAACCTGGGAGGCGGAGGTTGCAGTGACCTGAGATTGTGCCACTGCATTCCAGCCTGGCAAAAGAGTGAGACTCCATCTCAAAAAAAAAAAAAAAAAAAGAAAAAGAAGTATGTGTGTGATAGTGCTACTCAAGGTATGACTGCAGACTGGTGCCAATTTGTGAACTGTTTGTTATCAGTTTGTGACAAGTTCAGTACAGAAGTCAGATTTGTATTATTGGCAGAACTCTGAGCATATTTACTTACAAATAGGTACAGATTACTTCTCATCCTTTGAGAAAGAGCAGCCAAATTGGGTTGAACTGGGCAGGGGAAATGGATGAGAATGGGATATTGTATGGATTGGGGACATTTCCACAGATCTAGTATTTTCGAAAATCTAATTTGGAGTTTATACATAGGATCCAAGTTTCATGTCTGGGCATTTCCAGCATAAATATTTTGAGTACATTTGTGTGTTCTAGAGGTAACATTGTCTTTGCTTCTTTAATACCCTTTGTATGCCTATAATAGTGCATTTATTCTGTTTTAATTCTCCAACAGTTTATGTGACTATTTCCCCATGATCTATGAATTATTTGAAGGCAAGGATCATGACTTACTTACCTGCCTATTTCCAAATACATTGAAAGGCAAATAAAGTAAGGCAGGTAAAGTACGGAAATTGTTCTGGCAAAAGTATAGACATAAGCAAGGGTGAAGGTAAAAAAGTATGAAATACATTTGGAAAGAATAAGCTTTCCAGTTTGACTGAAGGGAAAGATATGATTAAAGAAGTAATAAGAAATGTTAGCTAGTTATCTTAGGATCATATCATATAATGTCATGAATACCAAGGTCAAAAGTTTATTTTATTTTATTTTTATTTTTTATTTTTCCCCCAGCTTTGTTGAGGTATAATTGACAAATAAAAATGGTATATATTTAAGGAGTACAACATAATTTTTTTATATGTAAACATTGCAAAAATAATTACCACAAGCAGGCTAATTAATGTATCTATCACCTTTCATAGTTACTTATTTTTTGTAGTGAAAATACTTACAATCTCTGTAATAAGGAGAAACCATGTAATATTTTTGAGCAGGTCAAATATCATCATTAAAACTATGCTTTAGGAATATATAATTAGTGACTCAATGCTTGAGAGTGTTCTAGCATCCACAGAAGTTATAGTCTAGTTGACAAAATGAAAACTGAATTCCAGATATTGCACAGCTGCGCTAGAGAAATCTGGCAACAATAACTCTAATCCTGGGTATGCAAGGGATCATCTGAGATAATTCTGAAGAATGGTTAGAAAATATTTGCCTGACTTCTCATGAAAAATCACCTCCAATGCAGATAGTAAAAATGAGGGAGAGGGATCAATAAGAGGGTTATACATGTTGATATAGTAACTATAAACAGAGCCAGTGTTTAGCACTTTATTCAGCATGGTGTCTCAATGCTGCCACACTTTCTTTCCTCTGGTGATCAAAATAGGATGGAAACATGGGAAATACATTAGCAGTAACCTGTTAAAGATGTTTAATTATCTGTACAATGGCTGATTCTTCTTATCCCTTACTGGAAAGCCTTTCCATAATATGACACTGACTTTTAAAGAGCTTTGAGGATCTTTATGCTATATTAGCACAGCTGACGTGGTTCTGTTGTTTAGGGGTCTTTATTAGTTAGGACTACTGCTTACACGTGTGTCCACTGATTTATTGTCCAAAAAGTTCATTTTGTATAAAACTCATTGTCCTATACCTTGTTTCCAAGTATGTATTTAAAGTGGAAGACTGAATGCTATTTGTGATAATTTGAGAGTTTGCAGATTACTTGGACACACCTTATTTTCTTATTCTCTCTAAATATTTTACTACATTTGAATCCTCAGGGTAATAGAAGTTTTCTCAGATTGATCCTACCACAGTAGTCTTGTCATTTTCAGTTCTGCAGACATTTTCCCCATAATTTCAGTGACACTGCTGAGAGTTTATTGAATGTAAGGCAAAAAATTGATTTCAGTTGTTGATAGTGATGATAAATGATGTTAGCAGTTGAGTTTTCCTATGAGCTGAAACACTGATTCTATAAATTGATATGGAACTATCTAATGAGAGAAAATGAACATAATGGCCCACTTGTGGGCTTGTTACAAATAAATATTTGATAGAAAGAGACATGTTTTGAAGGAAAAATGAGATTCCTTCTAAAGCTGATAGATTTTCAAATTCAAAATTATGTTTTTGTTTTGGCACAGATATGACACTTTGCACACCAGAAAGTAAAATGAGGATTTATAAATTAACTGCTTGATGTAATAATTGCAAACCTATATTAACTGAGTACTTACTGTGTGTCAGGCACTGTTCTTGGTATTTGGGATATGTCACTGAAGAAAACAGAGAATGAATCCTTGCTTTTGAGGAGATATCATTCTTGGGATGAGGGTGGGGAAGAAGCTAGATCTCAACAACTGTAATAACATATAAATAAGTCATAGAGTTTTTTTAGAAAGTGGTGACTATTATGGAAAAAGAAAAAAATAGAGCAGGGTAAGGGGGTTAAATTGGGACTGCTGGGATTTGTGGCTCAGGGTGTAGAATTAAACAATACTTAGGGTAGACCTTGAGAAGGTCAGATGTAAGCACTTAATGGAGGGAAAAGAGCCAAGGAAATATGGAGGGAGGAACAGTCTAGGCAGGGGAAGGCCTCATGGCAGGAACATGGCTGATGGTTTTGAAGAACAGCAGAGTTCAGTATAGCTAGAGGAGATGAGTCAGGGGGAAAGAGTAGTAGGACATGAAGTCAGAGAGATAAAGGCAGGGGCTGATGCGGGGAGGGAGTGGCAGTGGGAAGACAAGATCATGTAGAGCCTTATAGCCATATACTTTGAGAGAAAGGAGGAATTTGATCAGAGAAGTAATATGATCTAAGTTTAAACAGGATCACTACAGCAATCCATCAGTTCTTATATATCTTTATAAAAATCTAGTTGTTTAAATAACTGTGTACTTGTGTTCTCAGATAATGTTCTTAACCATCTTATATCTTCTGATAGATTATAACAGTCTCAATTGTAGGAACTCATTTTCTTCTTTATTTACAACTTCCCACAGCTTTCTAAATCTATAATGTATTCTGTATATAGTGTTCAATGACTGTAGTTGATATATTGTAAGAAGAATACCATGTAAATACAGATATCTCCCAATCTGTCAATAGACCCTCACCTTGGAGAGGGCACAGTTTATTCTTCATATCTATTTATATTTTTGAACTTTCTTATAGGGGAAGGATGATTTAAGTTCTTCCTGTCAAGCCAGTATGTTGATAATTACAATTAAACCCACCACCTAACACAATTCAATTATCAAAAACAAAGAGATTTAGTATTAGGTAACCAGAAACACATCAGCTAATGAAGTACAATCAATGCTTAATAAAATAGTTGAGTGAAATTCTGTACATTGAAGAAGAGATAAAAATCAACTGGCCTTGTCAGGGTAAATAAGAAAAAGCACTACTCTGGAAAAGATAAACCAGAAGTAGAGTTCTGATTTACTTGCCATTACGTACTTGCATCTCTTCCATCATATTTAGCACTCAAGTATAAACCTTATATAATCTCTTATTTCCCTATAGGAACTTTGCAAGTTCTTTTCAGAATATGGAATGTGACTGGAGACTAGAATATTTTATGATAATTCTTTTCTTAAGATGCCAAATAGCAAATGTTAAAACCTCATCATTAAACGTTGTCAGAATGAATATTAATGTAACTTAATTTTAAAATTAAAAGTAACCAGTTTTTAAAATTCTGAAATATTTGACTCCTTAATGTTATTGTAAGTGGCAAAATTTAGAAGTGTTTTCAAAGAATTTCCGTATTTCAACTATATACAGTCCAAAGCCTTTCATGATGTATTTTATTTAACTTATTTATTTTTCTACCTTTCACTAGGTTGTGATCACTAGATTGGGACAGCTGGGATTTACTAGATCTTTATGTTTGCACTGCCACACTCAGTGTCTAGCACATTATAGGAGCTCAGAAAATATTTGGTAAATGAATACGTGTGATTTTCGTAGGTGGATTTGTTTGTATTTGAGTGCGGTAGTGAAATCTCAGCTCACTGCAACTTCTATTTCACAGGTTCAAGTGATTCTCCTGCCTCAGCCACCGAAGTAACTGGGGTTACAGGTGCGAGACACCACTCCTGGCTAAGTTTTGTATTTGTAGTGGGGACAGGGTTTTGCTATGTTGGCCAGGCTGGTCTTGAATTCCTGACCTCAAGTGATCTGCCTTCCTTGGCTTCCCAAAGTGCTGAGATTACAGGTGTAAGCAATCCCGCTTAGCCAGGAATGATTTTCTTCTAGATCTGCATTGACAAATAAAACAGCATGATAGGCTGGGCGCAATGGCGCACGCCTGTAATCCCAGGACTTTGGGAGGCCAAGGCAGGCGGATCATGAGGTCAGGAGATCAAGACCATCCTGGCTAACACGGTGAAACCCCATCTCTACGAAAAATAAAAAAATTAGCTGGGTGTAGTGGCGGGCACCTGTAGTCCCAGCTACTCTGGAGGCTGAGGCAGGAGAATGGCATGAACCCGGGAGGCGGAGTTTGCAGTGAGTGGGGATCCCACCACTGCACTCCAGCCTGGGCGACAGAGCGAGACTCCACCTCAAAAACAAACAAACAGCCCCAGAGCAAGATGACCGAATAGGAGCAGCTCCAGCCTCCAGCTCCCAGCGCGAGCGACACAGAGAACGGGTGATTTCTACATTTTCAACTGAGGTACTGGGTTCATCTCACTGGGGAGTGCCAGACAATCAGTGCTGGTCAGCTGGTGCAGCCCGACCAGCGAGAGCTGAAGCAGGGGGAGCCATCGCCTCACCTGGGAAGCACAAGGGGGAAGGGAATCCCTTTTCCTAGCCAAGGGAAACTGAGACACACAACACCTGGAAAATTGGGTAACTCCCACCCTAATACTGCGCTTTACCAGGGGTCTTAGCAAACAGCACACCAGGAGATTATATCCCACACCTGGATGGGAGGGTCCCATGCCCACGGAGCCCCCCTCATTGCTAGCAGAGCAGTCTGAGATCTAACTGCAGGGCAGCAGTGAGGCTGGGGGAGGGGTGCCCGCCATTGCTGAGGCTTAAGTAGGTAAACAAAGCCTCTGGGAGGCTCGAACTGGCTGGAGCCCACCTCAGCTCAAGGGGGCCTGCCTATCTCTGTAGACTCCATCTCTGGGAATAGGGCATAGCTAAACAAAAAGCAACAGAAACCTCGGGAGAGATAAATGACCCTGTCTGACAGCTTTGAAGAGAGCAGTGGATCTCCCAGCATGGAGGTTGAGATCTGAGAACGGACAGACTGCCTGCTCAAGTAGGTCCCTGACCCCTGAGTAGCCTAA